ATGTTTACACTAATTTTTCAGATAGTTTGTTTGTCTTGGCAGGTGATTACAACCTACCACAAGCTAAATGGGGCAATGATGAGTTGGGATTGACAGTGACGGGCACTGGAAATGACTCTGTAAGTATTGTAGCAAATTGCTTTAGTTTCTATAACTTCTTTCAAAAGAATGATATTTTGAACAGCAAAGGAGTCCCATTGGACCTGGTTTTTAGCAATTTGGAATCTATTAATGTTACTCCAGCAGTAGATAAAATTTTTGAGAATAGTTTAAATCATACAGCTATCAGTTTTGAACTAGTGTGTGAAGAAAATTTTGATGTTATGAATTACGAGGAATACTTTTATGATTTCAAAAATGGTGACTACTTTTCAATAAATAATTATTTAGCAAGTATAAATTGGGAGGTACTGTTTCTTAATGGTACAGTTGATAGTATGGTGGTCATTTTTTATGATATAATTTACTCACTGATAGAACACTTTGTTCCACTAAAGAAATATAAAACCTCTACCTTTCCCTCTTGGTTCTCGTCAGAGCTGCGTAACCTAATTATATGTAAAAAACAGGCCCACAAACAATTTAAAATTAGTGGTAGGCAAGATGATTATGACCGTTTTGTGGCTTTAAGAAACCAGTGTGAAATTTTAAGAGCAGACTGTCAGAAACAGTATTTAGATGGGATACAAAATAACATTTCCGATAATCCAAAATATTTTTGGTCTTATATTAAAAGCAAAAGAAATGGGTATAATATACCATCCAGAATGGTCTATAAGGATAGGGTTGGCTTAAATATGAAGGACTCTGCCAATATGTTCGCAGAATATTTCTCATCAGTCTACTCAGATGAACAAAAAGATACTTTACCTTTTTTTAATTTGGACAGTTCTATTTGTTTGAGTTCTATAATACTTACAGCAACTGAGGTCTATGATACTATTGCAAGTTGTAAAAACAGATTATGTGCAGGGCCGGATGGAATCCCAGCCTATTTTCTGAAAAAATGTATATGTGTACTTACAAAACCAATTTTGTTTATTTTTAACAGATCACTTGGTACTGGTAGCTTTCCCAGTCTCTGGAAGAAAAGTTTTTTAAAGCCGATTTTTAAATCGGGTGCAAGGAACGATATATCAAACTATCGAGCTGTCTGTAATCAGTCGGAGCTGCCCAAGTTGCTTGATTGTTTGGTTAGTAAGAAACTGACATGGAGTTATAGAGGCATTTTTAATCCTGAACAATTTGGCTTTATGAGAGGGAGGTCAACAGATACCAACCTGGTTTTGTATGTCAATCATATATATATAACAGCTTTGAAGAGGGGTGCCAGGTTGACTCAATCTATACTGACTTTTCCAAAGCATTTGATCGGGTAAACCATGGGGTCCTCTTACAAAAACTAAGAGCTTTGGGTATTTTAGATCCCCTTCTTCAGTGGATTACAGAATTTGTTAGTGGCCGTACGCAGACAGTTAACTTGGGAAGTGACACTTCAATTGAAATAACAGTTCCATCAGGCGTGCCACAAGGCTCCCATTGTGGCCCTGTTTTGTTTTGCTTGTTTCTGGTTGATTTAGTACAACAAATCAAAAATTGTAGTGTTCTTATGTTTGCTGACGATGTAAAACTGTTTAGAAAAATTCAATCCTGGAATGATGCTGTTATATTACAGGAAGATCTTAAATCGTTTTATGATTGGTGCACTTTAAACAAAATGTCACTCAATATAAACAAATGTCATAAAATGACATTCTCGAGGCAAAGAAATCCAATTACATTTGTTTACTACATAAATAACTTGCCATTAGCCTCGAAAAATGAAGTATTAGATTTGGGAATTTGGTTAGACACCAAACTGTCATTCTCAAGCCACATTAACCAAGTAACAAACAGAGCGATGAAAGTGCTGGGATTTATCCAACGCACATCTGTGGATCTGTCTTTATTTACATTTAAAAGACTTTATTGTGGTCTCGTTAGGCCCATTCTTGAGTTTGGATCAGTTGTATGGTCCCCATCATACCACTGTTACATTCAACAGATTGAAAGAGTCCAGAATAAATTTTTGAGGGTAGCAGCCTATAAGAGTGGATACAGGAGAGAGGAATACGACTATCAGTGGGTAAGAGATAGTCTTAACTTACCAACACTGGAGTCAAGGAGGACATTGTTGGATTTATGTTTCTTACACAAAGTTATCAATGCTTTTATAGATTGTCCTCAACTCTTATCGCTTGTTAGTCTTAAAGTTCCTAGTAGAAGCAACAGACAATCAGAAATCTTTTCGGTGCCATTTCACCACACTAATTATGGTATCAATGAACCAACTACACGATTGGTCCGGAGTGCTAATAGCTTGCCAAGACAAATAGATATTTTTGACTCCAAAATTAGTTTGTTTAAAAAACAACTAAAAAATATCTTACAATAAGTTGGTTGTACATCTGTATTATTCTTATATGTTTGTATTATTCTGAGGTGTTTGTTATTTTAATAATTTATTGTTGTTAAGGTGTAACTTTTTAAAACTTGTGATTGTTATTTTAATAATATATTGTTTTTAAGATGTAACTTTGTAAAAATTGTAAGTAAATGGATGCAGTATATAAATAAATAAATAAAAGATACCTACGTTAACTGTGCAGAAATCGCATACACACGGCCTACAATACAGCTATGACTCGTGAATAAAATCTATACACACGTCGCCCTGGACCCGACTACTGTGTATATATTTTATACACAAAGCGCTTAATGTGTTAAGGATAACACTCCTGGGGATGAGTGGTTCGGGAGTTTTAAAAGATGTCACCAACTTAGCATAAAAAACCCCAAGCTGTGGAGTACTCAAGAAAAAAATGATAGATCTTTTCATCATCCAAGAATATTTTGATATTCTCAAAAATACTTTAGTTCAGCTAAAATTAGAGGACAAGCCAGAACTCGTGTGGAATATGAACGAAACATTACTTACTACTTTCGGTCCAGGAAGAGAAAACACCACGGTTCTTTCAGCAGTGTCTGCATCAGAGACGAAGGGAGCATAACTAATCATATTCAAGGGAAAAATATTTGGGATTCCTGGCTACCAGATAACAAGAACTCATTTCCGGGAACTGCTTATGCAGCCAGTCCCAATAGATGAATGGAGAATGACATATTTTTTAATTATTAAAAATGTTTAAGTATTCTCGCATTAGGAGAAAATAGGGTGGTACTATTAATATATGACGGTCATAGTACCCATATTAGTATTTAACTAGTTGAATTAGTACGACAGAATGATATCACAATCATCAAACTTCCTCCTCATACCAGCCACCTTCTGCAGCCTTTGGACTTAGTCAGTCATTTAGTTTGGAACAACTCGTAACCTGACAGAGACATAATACTGGCTTTAAAGTTCCAAAAGAGTTTTCTCTGACAATAGGCACTACATGGAAAAACGTAAGCGTAGAAATGATCAAAAAACGGGTTTAGAAAAGCTCGTATATATCGATTTAACCGTCATGTCATACCAGAGGAAAGATACCACCCCGAAAGCCTAAAAAGATGGAAAAAAACAAAAGAGATTAGAAGACCAAACAATAGTTGTCGCTGAAACTGCAAATACTAATATGGATGTTATTACCACTGGCAATATTGATCAGGAGGTAAATAAAGACCAAATTGTGGAAAACCATACAACCAATATTTCTGATGCAACTCCAAGTAGTAGTTCTTCAAAAATAAGTTTTGAGGAGCTGCTATTAAATACTGTTAAACAGACAAATAGGCAAAGTCCTTTGGGCTCAAAAAGAAAAAAAGTAGCTGCAGGGGCAGAAGTTGTTACTTCCAAAGAAGTTCTGAATAAACTTACAGAAGAAAATAGATTGAAGAACAAAAAAGAAAAAGAAAAACAAAAGAAGAATGCAGAAAGAAAAAAAGAAGCAAAAATTCAAAAACTGAAGAGGATTAAGAAACAAGAAGAAACTTTTAGTAGCTCAAAATCGGAAGAAGATTTCGTACAATATGTTTTAGACTCTGAAGATGATTTAGATCCTGAAATATTTTAAGAAAATGAGCAAATAATTGAGAAAGAAGTAACAACAGTTGGAGAGTTGGGAAAGACCCAAATCGCACTGGGTATTTGGTTTGTTGTAGAGTACACACCTAAAAAACATATTAAACATTTTATTGGAAGAATTGATAACGAGATTGATAAAGAAGACACGGATATGATAGTTGGAGACGATATGGCAATAACTTTACCAGAACCTGTTAAAGACAGAAGGGCTCATTTTATTTTTGACATAAATTTTGTCGGTTGAACCTTTAAATCTCAAAAAGTTTGTCACTTGTTTAAAAATAAATAAATTAAAGTTTTTCAAACACTAAAAAATTCGTTTTCTCTTGCACTTTTAAATTATTTACACTTGCCCCAAAAATAACACATGCTGTTGTAAGCTAAAGTCCATTGTCACACTTACCCCAAATTGATAGGAAAGTGTGAACCATGGATACTTAAAAAAAATTTAACATAATTTCCACATCTGATGTTACGATTGTGGCCAAATTTAAGTATATGTAGTAAAGTCCTTAAGCATTCTAGGAAAAATCTGAAACCATTTTGTGTACCATGCATCCGATAATTTTAAATTAAATCTCTTAAACTTAGTTTTGTCTAGTTTCTTTCTAGTTTTTTTAAATCTTTTATTATTAAGATAACACCAAAAAGTTGTTAAATATTTTTTACCAATAGAATAAATCTATCAGAGAATGTATAAAAAAAATTCAAAATTAAGTCTCAAGTAACCTGATGCAAGCCTTGGCAAATATCTGTCTACAAGAGCATCTTATGTATTAGTTATAGTATCATGACTATACAACACTTAACATTATATTCTATCTGAAGCAGAATTCATTGATTTACATTTCAATATTTCAGATTCCTAATGAACATCTCTGTACGAGTACCCAACAACTAAAAAGTTTCATAAAAGGAGCAAATGAAAACATCATACAAAGACACAGAAAGAAAAATTCAGGTTTTGATATATGAAATACCTCAATAAGTTCCTCTGCATGTTTTTATTATTTATCTCACCTGAGGTATCCTCATTCTTTAAGTCTCCAAGATCAAGAGAGGTGGATAGTTGACTCTCTATATATCTTGGATCATCTTCAACAAACTCTTCCTTAATTTCAGCTTTTACAGTATTATCTAAAAAAAATTTAATTCATCAAAGTTTTTAGTAGTAATTATTATTACTTATGTTACCTGTGTTATGGTTGTTTGGTTCATTCTTCAAGTCACCCAGATCAAGGGAGGTGGATACCTGCTTCTCTACATATCTTGGATTAGCTTCAACAAAATCTTCCTTAATTTCAGTTTTTACGGCCCTACCTAATAAAATATACGAATTAAAAAAAAAATATACATCTCATTTTTTTAGAACTAATTACTATTTGTGCTACCTTCTTCTGGTCCATTCTTTAAGTCCCTACGATCAGTTGACGTAGATAACTGATTCTCTATGTGTCTTTGATCACTTTTAACAAATTCTTCCTTAATTTCAATGTTAGATTCCATAACTAAAACAACTCGGTGATCTCTCACCTCATCCATCAATATCAACATAGACAGTAACCATAGAGAAATAACAATAATTAATAATTTGTTATTTCTCTATGCAGTAACACAGTTATAGTTATTTAAGATTGTTAAATGTTATTATTATTTATTCTCCATTCGCTTAGCTCGGGCATATTTTGACAGATTCATTGTCGGAAACGGAAACCTACATGCCTACAACACAAAAATTCCTACTTCTCAGTATTAATAGCTCAAATATACTACTATTGCAGACTTCTTCCTTTTAAAAAAGAAGAATTATTCCAAATAGTGGAAGTGTATACTAAACCCATAACATTTTCGGACGATTTTCACATTTGGTCCCATTGAAGATAGCTGCAAATGGGTTTGACAGAATGAAATATTGGTGTTTCGCAGTGTTGAAATTTACATTACAAACGAAACATACGCAATTAAAAGAAATAAGATATTTAAAAACTAATATTTAACGATTATGAAAAAAAGAAAAAGCAAATAGTTTTAAAACAGTTTTTAACAGTAAATAGTAAAATGTCGGTATAAATAATAAAATTTAAAAGGCATTTGTTGCAATCTGGCAGCTGGTGGTTTTAGGGTTCTGACTCTATTGCCAAATCTATCCTCTAACCTACTAAAGGGCAATTGCCAAAAAAATTTTATGATAATTTGTTACAACTAATATCAAACGAAACAACTATTACTTCATTAATATTTTATATAAAATTGCAGAATCCATAAAATAATATGATAAAAATGTACCTTTTAAAAGCTTTATCTCTTTGTATTTGAAGCATATAACATATACCTTATAATAACTTGGCAACACTGCCAACGCAATCTTTCGTTCTGTGAAACTTAATTGACAGCTAATTTGAGGCTATCTTCAATGGGACCAAATGTGAAAATCGTCCACATTTTCCCTGTATATTTACCATCGAGCAATAAGACAAAAGAGGGAATCTAATCGTTATAAAAAGGAGACCAAAAAAGTGGCCTCTGATGGCGGACACATCCGGAAATGCAAAGGCGCTAAATTTAAATTTTCCAACATTTGTTAACAATAGCTATAAAATATTTTTCAGACTAGAAAGTTTTAATTAAATATTAACGATAATAGTCTAAAAAGTGACATAATTGGTAAAAAACTTCAATATAAATAAAATTTCATGTGACAGTTGGGACAAACAATAACATAACCAAACTAAATTTGACTTCTTAAACAAGGAAAGAGACTGTCTATCCTTGTCTAAAGTGGCCTCTCAAGATGGCACTTCCTGTCTATCAATATGTTTACCCCTTCTACCTTTACATTCCCTCTTTTGTCTTATTGCTCGATGATATTTACACTTCATCTAATTTATATAACGATGCACGTCATCGGCGTCATAGCCTGTGACGTCATATGATACCAACACGAAATATTTAGGGTTTAGGTGTGTTCTTTTTAGAATCACTTTACCGAGTACACTGGCATTACAGCCACTAGACATATTTTATTATATACGCGTTGAAATAATATTTAAAAATTTCTATTAATGTTAACTTAAAGAAATACACAATAATATGTTTCATTTAATTTGTATAAATCCATTATAAAGAGTTTTTATCAAGAACATTTGCAATAATTATGTGACCTATTTGATTTAAAATGGAGTAAGGATTTTTTTATACTTTGGCAACTATGTCAACTTCGATATCTGACGTAGATCATGACGTAAGTCGTTATCTAAATTAGATGAAGTATAAAATATAATATTTGAGTTGTTACAATTGAACATATTGTAGTAAATAATTGTATTATTCGCGTTGTTTATTTTAGCTAATATAGTTTTTTTGTTCCATTATTTTTGTTTAATTCTTTGTTAGTTCTATTTTGAATTTTTTTTTTTTTTTTTTTTTTTTATTTATTTATGCCTCAACCTCATAGGGTCATTGGCGTTGTACAATTTAGAGTTTTACAGTTTATTTAGTACATTTATGGAATGTAAGTATGATGTCAAATTTTTCATATCAGTTCCGTCACTTAATATTGCCTGTAAGGTATCTTGTAATTTATATTGAAGTCTCTCCATGCGATATAAAGGACACTCCAGTAAAATATGGCGAACACTGAGCACAATATCACATATGTTGCACTTTGGTTTTAATTCACTCTCTAGCAGATGTTTATGGGTGATGGCGGTGTGGCCTATTCTCAGACGAGATAGGATGGTTTGATGTTTACGCTTATTTGGGGTTGATTTCCAAGGTAATATGGAATGTTTTACTTCTCGTAGTTTGGATGTTGATTGATTCCACTTGGTCTGCCAATCATTGATTATTAAGTTCTTGATTACAGGTTTTATATCTAGATGTGGAATGCTTCTGATTTCTACAGCTTCCGGACTCGAGATTGCTAGTTTTGCCAAGGAATCTACTTCTTCGTTACCAGCAATTCCAATATGGGAAGGAATCCATACAAAGTTGACATTTATGTTCATAGTTTGCAGTTGGCTTAATGCTGATTTAATAAGTAGTAGACTTGGATGACTAGGATATAAGTTATTTAGGGCAATTACAGAACTTAGGGAATCCGTAATAATGACAGGGTTTTTGTATTTTGAATTTTATTATTAGAGATAGTCATTTTTCCATTTGTTCTATTAGATAATGCGTTGGTAACATGATATATTAGATTTTGGCGCAACCTAACGATATAAACTAAATTACCGTAACTTTTTTTATAAAACATATTTTTTATATATAATAGAAATTTACATTCTATATACATGCTATAAATTTCTAATGCATAGTATAAGTTTGCAAAAGAGGTCGACGAAATACTCTAATGAAATGCGCTATCAGCACGTGTACTTGGTTGTATAATTTCCAGCCACTTCTAGTCTGTCAAAAAGTAACTAACTTCGTAAAAACATAATTACTAAAATCACTAGATAGTTCGGACTGGCATTAGCGAACCGTAAAGGCCGTATGACACTATGCATTTTCTTGTATCATTTCTTATATCGTTTCTGATATAGAAAGTTATTTATGTTTTCTTGTATCGTTTCTTGTACGTACATTTTTGCCCTGTATGACACTATGCAAGTTCTTTTACCAGAAACTGTATGTGATTTGGCACATGATTGGTCGAAATTTTGACACCTATAGAAATAGAACTGCAGTACCTGAGGCACCGAACAAGGGCCTGAGGAGTGAGCACCCCAAGCTACTGGGGACTGAGAACATATGCTACTGATTATTTTTAAAAATACTGTGGTGCAAAAATGAAAGAAATAAAATGTCCCAATATGAAAACTAAATTGGAAACCACAATTTTTGAAGATATTCAACAGGTTGTAATGGAAGACAGAAATAATAAATAATTTGGTTGTAATAATTTATTTGTTTTTTTTTAAATTATGTGTTTAAATGGTATGCTCTTGAAACTCTACTCTCTTATTTGGAGATATAAAATAATCTTTAAACTCATCACGAATTTTTAGTGCGGTTATGTATTGTTTTTAGTAAAACATCTACTTTCAGTAGTTCCGATGCTATTTGATACAATCACTGTGATTTATTGTTTTTCAATATGGCTACTGATGTTCTAATCTTGGTTATTATTGGTGGGCACTTTTCTCTGATGTCTGCTTGGCCTAATTGTATGTAAGTATACATCAGAGATACTTACATATCTCAGGTATATATCAAAGTTCTCCTCCAGCCATAGGGAAATAAAAATAATAATTATTTTTATTTCTCTATGCCTCCATCCGCCAATATGACATGAAAGAAGTTTTACGTTTTAGCGGCTTTGCGCACAAATTGGCGCATTTCTTGTACAAGAAAATGCAGCGGACACAAATTCTTGTATCGTTTCTGATATAAGAAACTATACGCCTGTATGACACTATCCATTTTTTTGTTATATCAGAAACGATATAAGAAATGATACAAGAAAATGCATAGACACAATAGTTAAAAAGAGAAGAGAAAGGGATAAGTTAAAATGTCATGTCAACAAACAACATGTCAACTATGATGTCACTTTTTTTTCGATGACGTTGTGCCTAGAGGAAAATATATTTGGTTAGGTTAGAGTGCCCGTTTATGCGTAACGCCCTATTTATATTTAATTATATTATATTTATGTTATTATATTTAACAATGTTACTATGATTGTATAGTATGTCTATGATTGCCGTAAGTCAATTAAACCGGGTTAATTTTTCTATGCACACCACATAAACAACACTAGTTCCCTCTAAAACATGGCGGAACGTCTGCGCGAACGAGATGCGCGTACTTTTTTTCCATGGAGAGTGGGCATTCTGATTGTTTACTATTCTGTGGCAGTAGGGGCAGTAGTCTTGCTTGACATACTTGACATTAACCACAGATCACCTCTGTGACATTTTGTTGACATTTCGACACGACATTGACTTTTGACTTATTTGAGGATAAAAGATTGTTAAAATTATAAGGGCTAAAGCAGTTTTATTGTTATACAAACATTACATTTTAAAACCAATTAATTTGATAAGAGTTACAGCTTCGACAAATGTGATACAATATGTCTAAAGTAGAATATTCTTTATAGATGCTCCCGTATTTTAGGTGTAGATCTTTCCACATCATTTTTATACATATAGTACCCAAATACAATAAAGATGTATATAAGTGATTTACGTATTGCCGTAATATGTTCTAGTAACATGAATCGTAGTATGGAAGCTCACGCTTTTTTGGCCAAAAAGGGGTTTGATGTTAAATCGTACGGCACAGGTGATAAAGTTAAAATTCCAGGTTCATCTTTTGATAAACCTAACGTTTATGAATTTGGAACCTCTTACGAAGAAATATATCTAGATTTGCTTAAAAAAGACAAATCTTTGTATCCTTAAATAATATAGGCTTTGTTTTACTTTTGCAGTTTATATTTTTCTTTTATTATAATTTAAAATTAAGTTTTAGGTATTTTACATTGTCTATTTACTGATAGACTTTCACAAATGAGGGAAAATGGAGGTTTCTATACCAGTCAGAATGATCAATTATTCATCTTATTTAGAGGTTTCATATCTGGATAATTTGTCTACTTAAGTTACTGCACCTGAAAGCTCCCACAGTTGGCTTTGCCTTGCAGTATGACCAACAACAGCCTATCCTTGTCCGGAAGAAGCTACATATATTTTTAGTGAAACATAAAGATGAAATCACATGAATCATCCAAATCCAGAAGATAAACATTTGATAAGTCATCAAAAATGAGTCACACAAATAAGGTTTTTATCATATTAAGGTGTTACAGAATTTTCTTTATTGGATAATTAATATCATTGCAGCATGTTTGATTGTGACGCAGCTTTGTTATTGATCAGTAATTCACTTTCTAAACAGCATTTTCTCAATAATCTAGTAGACATATAATTGTGGGTGCCACCAATATCATCTTCAGGTGGGTGAAATTGCATATACAAATACTATTAACCAATAATATAGAGCTATACCATTTTTCAAAGAAAAAAACTTGCATGTCACGATTTATACAAAGTGACTTGTATTTAAAATTTCCAGAACATCAACCTTAGAGTTCAAATTTTCCTAACACAGCTAATAATATGAAACCCATACGGAACTGCTTGATCTTTCTTAGGTGTCAACATAGTGTAATAATCAGAAAAATGTAATCATCATTATATTGGAAATTTTAGAATTATATTGATTAAATAACCAAAAACATTTGTTATTATTAATAATATAAATTTTATGAAATAACTCTTTAAGTCTAATATTCCACAAAATAGTAATTTTAATTAAATATCTTAGACAATTGTATGCAACTGATACGGAAATACTTCAAATTTTGTTGACAGTTCAGCATTTGGCGTGTATAAAGTGTTGCCGCTTTTTCAGGGTAGAAATTTTGTTTATGTTTAGATTTCTTACATAATTTGATCATAATATATATTAATAATATATATATTAATAAATTGTATTTATAAATACATATTCAATTTACATTAATAGCTTTAAAAACTAATTATTGTTGTGTATTGCGATTGTGATATTGTGAAATGCCAAAACAAATAAATAGTCTGTAGAAAGCTGATAAGCTTTCATATAAGATAGATTATTTTGAACAAGAAATAATGGCGGGACGTTTTTACTATTTAAGCCCTAAAAGAGGTAAGTTTAAAATTAAGAATATATAATTTTGTATTGAAATGTTTTCTTATGTATTTTAATGTGTTGCAGTAGTCTTAAAACTAAGTGTATTTACTGTTATTATAATAGTTTGACAAATAGTTGATATTTTAAAAATTCCTCACTAACTGGACGTAGTTAAGTAGAAGACATCCAACCCAAAAAAAGTGATTGTTGCCAAATTGAATTTAAAAGTTTTTAGTGTGCCCTAACCAAACTATGCTTATTTATTCGCCTGGCAATGATTTTAAGATAATGATATTCATCTCGTAGGCACCTCGTTTCTATTTTTTTTTAATGTAAGTTTTAATGAAGATATTTTGAAAATTTTAGGTTGGAAGTTTTTAATAAAAAACAAAAATCCGAAAAAAATTTCGATAAAATGTGGTTTGGAATCTTTCAGATAAATAAATAATGTCATATTTTTATAAAATTTTTAATGATTCAAAGAAACAAAATTATAATGTTTTGCTTGTAAATTTAAAAACAGTTTTAATTATTGCGGGTATCTACCTCCAAATCTAGAACTGGAACATTAAATCCATCATCGTCTTCAACTACATTAGCACCTATAAAATTTTCATAAAATGGTTTAGCATCTGAAGGAATTAGATGCAAATAGCTTTTAATATCGTTAATTTGATCCTCTGACAGGGGTTTACCATTGGACCAGAGTTGCATAAGAAGTGCCGAAAAGCTCTCTGTATTTAATTGTCCTCATCGCTCAATATCCAAACATACACTTTCATCGCCAAAATAACTAAGAGAGTTCTTTTCTCAAATATTATCAACCAACTGAAAATATGAATTATGATGAGTCGATGGTGAAATATTATGGTCGCCATAATTATAAACAGTTCATTTGGAGAAAACCGATAATATTCGGTTATAAAGTAAGGTGCCATAAATGCGAAATTAGTTACCTTGTAAATTTTGAGATCTATCCAGGAAAAAGTATAAATTGGAACGATATTTACCAACTTGAATTTGGAAAGGCAGCCACTCCCCTCTTCTCAATGTTGAACTCTGCCACAACAAAAGCTGCCTCATCAAATATATGTAGATAACCTTTTTACTAGATTCAATTTAATGGTGTATTTAAAAGAAAAAGGTTGTAGTGTCACAGGAACAATAAGAGATAACAGAATACTACCAGATGTTCCAATTGTGGATAAAAAAAAACTATGTCCAAACAAACTCGAGGTTATTTGTTTTCAAAAATTGATAAGGAAGATGGTATTGATAAGATGGATGGATAACGCCGTCGTAATAATGACATCAACTTTATATGGTGTACATCCTATTTAACATATAAAACGTTATTCACATTCTGAAAAAAAAGTTGTCCAAGTTCTTTGCCCATATGTTGTTGGAATGTATAACAAGTTTATGGGAGGAACTGATAGAATGGATGAGGATTTAACAAGATTCCGTAGCAAGAAATGGTATTGATCTATACTTACATGGTTAATTGATGCTGCAATGCAAAATTCGTAGATACTTTATAAGTGTTCAGGAAGACCAAAAACTAATTTGAATTTTCGATATGAAATAGCGACTACTTAACTTACCAAATTCAGAAACCTTCCCGTTAGACCTGGTAGACCAACAACAAGTAGAAATAGTCTATCTTTTAACAGAATCTTTGACAACATTATGTACGATGGTATTAACCACCTCATTATACCTGTTCCTAACAAAAAACGAGGGCGGTGCGCAGGGGAAGGATGCTGCTCAGTGGGACGTACGCAATGTGAGAAATGCGATATTGGACTCTGCATTGTATATTTTGCCATATTTCATAAAGACTAAATATTATAAATATTATGAAACTTGGACTTTAAAGGCCGATATCATGAATAAAATCGAGGCGTTTGAGATGTGGTTGTATCGAAGGATACTAAAAATTCCATGGACTAGCAGAACCAGAAACGAAGAAGTTCTTCGAAGAATGGGACATCAACGAACTCTATTAAATATTATTAAGAGGTGTAAACTAGAATATCTTGGACATATAATCAGAGGACCAGGATATGAGTTCCTTCGGCTAATTCTCAACGGTAAAATCGAAGGAAAGAAATGGATAGGACGGAAGAAACTCTCTTGGTTGAGGAATTTGCGGCAGTCGACAGGTTTGACAGCGGACCAATTGCTACACGTAGCCCAAGACCGAGATCAGTATAATAATATAAGCATGGTAGTCGCCGACGTTCCGTAGGGATATGGCACTCTAAGAAGAAGAAATATAATATTTTTATAGTGTTTCGACCATATGGTCACAGTTTGTAATGTCATATATTCGATAAACAAATAAAATTTAGTAGGTTTTTCTGCTTATTTGTATGTTTCCTAAACTAAACTTGTTAAAAAACCACCAGTTTAACAAAAAAAATCAGGCTTTGATGGGTTAATATTTACGTATAAAATCAAATATTTCTTAACTCTGCTGTTATTAGGTTGGTTTACCTTAGTTGATGTTGAGTAATAAGCTATTGATTACGTACTTTAGAAAGGAACTACACCGTTAAAGGTGTTTCATATGGATTATGGATCACCAAATATGAAAAAACCATGTAGTGCTACCATTTAAAGAGATGCGTTTTTGAGAAAGGGATTAATTTCACCTTATGCATTAGAGTGAGTTTGAATAAATTCGATGCAGTTTTCGTATATATACATCTAAGAAAAGTTATTCAAAATTAAATTTTCTATTGAAATGTCTCGAAGTTAAAAAGAATTTTTGTTTGACAAAAATGTATACAAAAAAAGAAGCAAAAAAGAAATAGGAACACACGCGATTTTTCTTTTTTGCACATAACTTTTTCCACGGAGTACAGGCATTTCTGTACAGACAAAATATCCTTCCTCTTCAGAATGACATTTAGTAGAACTCTAAAAGGATTCACAGTATCCGAGATACGATTTTTCCAAGTTTTTTTTTCACACCATTTGTGGGCCATTTTTTTGCAAAAATTGCTCTATAACTATTTTCTACGTACTTTTCGGTATAATATGCAATGGTACATTGAATAAAAAGAAAAATAGAACAAATATTACCTTTAAAAAGATTTACAGTAGAAGACTAATATAACTAAACTTAAGCAAGATGCGGTTCTTCAAAGTTTTCTATTTTAAACGATTTTTTCTATTTATGGCAAAATGCAAAAAAATTTACCGTCGAGTTGATACAAATTTTATTTAAAAAATTGGTTTCGCATGCGTAACATTTCTTTGCGCCGGTCGCTTTAAGGGTTGTTTCTGAGAGAACGGTTCTATCTACAGAAAAAGAGCTAATATACATTTTTGTTAAACGTTATCTCAGCTACATTTCTTGTTTGAAATATTTTTTTCTACGACGAACAGAATCTTGGTAAGTCGATGTTTTCCTTCCCCCCTTCAAAGGGCCATTTTAGGGAAAGCCGGGGTAGGAGTGGCAAACTGTTTTGCATCTTTTTTGAGGTCTCAAAATTGACATTCTTAGAAAAATTCAACTTGTTGTAGAACTGTTGTACAATTATATTTTAAAGTACAGAAAATTAGCTTTCCTTTTTATTTGGTAATGTACAAGAAAAAAAGTTATGATGTGAAATTTAAAAAATTTCCGTAAAACTTCGTTAACAGTAGAAAATTTTCTTCCTGAAAATTAGTTGCTAAACTTGACAGAACGCTGAACTTTAAAGAGCTTCT